CCCCCCCCTGAGATGTACAAATGTATATGATGACATAATCCCTGGTCAGGTGATGACCACCGAATAAACCACATAATGTAGCTATTTTAAGGGTACACAGTTTGCACAGTCACTTCTATACTGTGAACTAAATATCATTACTACTAGTAGGCTAACACTTAGTAGGCTGTTAATTTTTTTATCATCACTTTCTTTTCTCTGCACCTGTCACCATGAACTCTAGTCTGTGAACACCTCCATTTTTCTCAGACAGTGAACTTTTAAAGTAAATGGCATTATGTGTACATTAGGCGGTCTGCATGCCCTGGTGGTAATCAAACTCATGACTTTTCGGTCCAGAGTCAGGGTCATAAACCACTGGAGTATACACTTTATATATTTTTTTCAGTCCCTTCTACAGTACATTACCTTTTGGACTAACTGACTAAGAGACTGTTTCATATTATTGGTCTTTCTTTCAGAGTTTTTAAATCTAGTACACGTTTTCTGCTTTCTGGAGTTTGCCACGTAGCAATAATGTCTTGGGTTTGGGTTTTTGCAATATCCTGATTACCAAACCTATTGTACTTTTTTGGTGGCTTTTTATCTTTTGTCCTCTCTGTGAATTTGTCTGCACTTGTTGGCTGGTGGGCATTTTAATTCTATATAGATGGTACAATAGTATTTATTGTATGCAAAGCAATAAAACAATAGAGTTAGCAGGTAATTCACACCTATCATTTCTGAAAAAAAAAACTGTATTATTTCAGACCAGAGCAGACAACACACTTCTGTCTGGCATAACTGTTTGGACTGATGTGTATTTTTCCCCCATTGTTTTCCCCAGTTGGGATTATTGGGGTTGGGTATCCACATTAAAATTATGCTACTCAGGTTTTAGACTGTAAAACTAAGTTTTTGTCATTAATATTTTTAAACAAGGAAAATCGTAGATTTTGTACCTCCGGGTATTGTAATGTATGTTGCAGAATGTTGGGTGCATGTTGGGACTGTTCTTTAAATTAGTGAATGGTGTCTGGGTGTGTGTGTGTTCACGCGAATACCACGTGACACAACTATGCAAGAGGAAGCTACGCAACTTGACACCTGTGCGAACAAGAACAATATGATTATGAACGGGGATAAGTCCTATGAGTTGAGACTGTGCTTTTCAAAAAATCCACCTGTTCCACCTCCCCTCACACTTGGAGGCAAAGAAGTCCCGGTTGTTGAATGTGCCACGTATCTGGGCTTCAAACGTCACCGCAGCCTTGGGTGGGACAGCCAAATCTTACACATGGCAAAGAAAGGCTCAACCCGTCTTCACTTTCTCCGCATGCTCAAGAAGGGCGGGATGCCACCAGAGGACCTGGAAACTGTGTATACGACTCTGATACGACCTGTGTTAGAGTATGCAGGCACAATAATGAGACGTTGATTGACGGCACATGTGGTTCACATCTGAACAGTTTCAAAGAAAGAATTTATCGAGAATGCTGACACCCCTCTGTGTGAAAGGTCAGATCAGTGGTCGAGACCTCAATGGTCCTTATACATGCAAAGGTCAAACGTAGAGGTCCACTTTCACACTGAAAGGGGTGTCCATCGGCGGTCTAAACCCATCATTTTCACGCACTAAAACACACATACTAAAAAACCAAAACAACGTGCACCATCTACAGCCCAATAGCAAAACGTATACCAAGTCCCAGACATATCCGTCCACCCAAACGCTAGAAACTGCTGCGAACGCAATTTTCGTCTTCCCTTACAAAACCTCCGCGCACGGGATATACATCCCTACCCGGAGGTAAAAAATCAACTTGTTGATTTGACTGTGTAATAGATATAGGGATGACATCCACACTCTGATGAATTTTCATTTGTTTCAAACAAAAGTTTTTGAGCATACTGTAGTGTAAATCGTACAACTTACAAGTCAGCTACAAAATGAGCAAATTTATGTCGTGAGTTAAATATATAACGTTATTTATATACTGGAAAACTAACATGATTGAATGTCAAAATCAATTCCAATGGAAAAGAGAAAATGTTAAGAAATGAAAATTTTATTTGTACCTTACAAAATGACTAAGGCCAGTAAATGAGACATAAATTTTGGTCGAACTATTTAGAAACAACAAAGAAATATTTGTTCATATTTTGACCAAGTGCGCCATATATGCCCCCCTCCCCACACGCCACACGACGCAACATAACTTCTAGTGTCAATTGCTTTTCACGACACTTGATAATAATTACTGTGAGCCATAATGATGAACCCACGTCATACTCACCCCTTGTGCTTAATAAGCTGGGTAATCTGTTCTGTTTCTGGCAGCTGAGGGAAAATCTCATCACGAGCGCGCGTTTTATCATGGGCGCCGCCATCTTCGAGGGTGACGCAGTAGGTCGAAGGTCAAAATTGAGTCTAATCTTCAAGCAGATGTGTGGTGCTGCTTTAGTTTATACTGGGGTAATCTCCAAGCAGATCTTTTGGTGGGGGTAAGACAGTATCAAATTGGCCAGTTTGTATCCATTCCCCCACCCAATGGATACAGACTGGCCAATTTGATACTGTCTTACCCCCACCAAAAGATCTGCTTGGAGATTATACTGGGGGAAGGGCGAAGAGAGAGACGCTGGCCACTAGTCTCCACTAAGCCCCTGTGCAGGCTGAATAAAAAGTTGAGATCGGCCTAAAAGTAGAGTCATTGTAAACTGGCCTGGGGAGTTAGCCGGCCATATGCATAGCCTGAATGAAGTTTGGTGGAGCACTGAATGAAGTCTGGTGGAGGCTATACTAGTAACTTGTAGCCTCTATTATGTGTGCAGACTTAAATCTTTAATTTTCTACGAAAGTACTATAGGCAATCGCCTAGGTTTCTAGATATTTATAACCTAATAGAGTACCGAATAACTACAGTATATAATTTGATTCAGGTCGTTCAATTCAAAAGAACGTGTAAAGGGCCCTGCAAAGAAGTCTGCTGATCGAGGCTAAAAGAGAAAGAAAGAAAAAAGTGCACTGCGCACGTCAAAATGTAAAACAGACACGTACATATCAAGCTATGGTCTGATATCAAAATTTACTTGGAGACATTAACCTATGTGAACGGGTCAATCTCTTTTAATTATCGCGCTGGCGCTCAGTCTCCAAGCGGAGGTTGGTGAGGACCTTCCCCGCCAGCCTGTGCTTGGAGGATACGATTAGGATACGACCGGTACAACTGGAAGCGCACTAATAAGACTGGATGCTAGGCTATCTCTAGGGTAGGGGACGACAAATCTTATGTTACAAGACTGATACTACTGCCTACTTGATAGAAGCGCCAGGTTTACGGTCAAATTTAGCCTAAGTGAAAACCAAGGACATTTTAAGTTCCTTGTTGAAAACATATTATTTCTTTTACAAGGACGTCCGTATACTAGTATCACGTTGAAGATTCTCATATATGAAGAAATTTTGGACATTGCACCGGGATAACAATGCCGGTTAAAAATAAGTAAAATTTAGCCAAATTGGGAGCCATAATTTGGATAGGGAGTTTAACCACCGTAGAGTTTATTTCTGTTCACATGAACATTCGTCAGGCATTTCAAAGTGCCCAGACAGTAGTGTCAAACAATGACGTATTTAGCTAACTGTTGAACTTGGCACAGACACGCTTCAGAACAACGTGGGAAGCCTGAATTTCAAACAAAAGAGGAAGCAAAAATCCTTTTAGACACCAGACACGAGAAATATCTGGCATTAATATGAAAATGTTGCCGTCGGCGTCCTTTTGAACACCAGACGACATTATACCAACAGTGTGATATGATAATCACCATTTACTCGTCTGGCAACGGTGACAGGCAACATCTCGGGCTCTGATTGGTTGATCGGTGCCCCTCCAATCAGCATCATTTGTGCTCTCTCACACCTACGTGTTCACTTGTAAACTCGCACTGTCAACAGCGCTAATTCATATATTCCCTCAGTCTGACCACACAGTCGTCTGCAAGCAGCTTTTCTGTCAGGTTATCGCCTGTTTCAGACGATATTTTCTCTCAGAATCCGCGGGAATTTTAGACCAAGGACATTTTCCTCAGACTAACCACACAGTCGTTAGCAGACTTCTTTTCTGTCAGGATATCGTCTGTTTCAGACGATATTTTCTCTCAGAATCCCGCGGGAATTTTAGACCAAGGATTCTTCATGATACCTCCACGGGATCAGCTTCGAGCACATGAGAACAGCATGCCGTGCGACCAGCGAGCGGTGTTACGGGAAACCCAGCGGCAGTGCATGTACCAGAAGGCGACCCGGGAACAGTCGGGCCGGATGCCGACGAGACCCAAAGTTGAACTGGAAGCGGAGAACCGCAAGTTGTGGGAACTTTTCCACCAAGCCGGGACGGAAATGATCATCAACACGAAAGGAAGGTCAGTACTTTTATACTTTTTTTTTTGTTTATTTCAACAGGTTTTACTGAAGTAACTTGAATATTTTTCGGAGTGAAAATCTTTTTGCATTTTGCCATAATTTTGAAGCATAGCTTATTTGTCGGCTTTCTTTTTTCGTACATCATTTCTTTTCATGTCGGTATTTTGTCTATTTTGTCAGTTTCTGAAAAAAAATCTTGAAATTTAAATTCTACCGTTGATTTTTTTTTTTTTTGGACAGTGGATACCCACGTGACAAAGTCATGTGCTTATATTATATGTTAGATTTTACGAAATCTGACACTCGGTATTACGTACACACATTTTTTTTCCGAATCCTGAGCCAAAATTATACAATAAGGCCTTAAAAAGGACTTCTTCATAGACCTATATTGTAACGACAGAAAATACATTGTCGTATTTTGCCACTTTTTTCCTTGAACGGTTCCTTGGTTTTTGTGGGAACCGGCTGCATCTCTCCCCATGCGGTGGGCCACAAAACAAACTCACACCTACGTGAGAGGTTAGCCTATTCAAGTGTCGTCTGCCAATCGCCCAAGGGAGCTTTTGCATGTCACAGAGTTTTCTTTATCACGTGTGTATTCAGAATTTCAGACAATGGAGACGATTTTTCAAGAGCTAGTGTATATGGCATGGTGGGAGTCGAGAATGTAGTTCACACCAGAAAATTCTTTCATTTTGGGGAGCCGGAAATAAAGCCGTCTGCAAATTATCGTGTCAGACAATCCCCAAATTTGCTAACTGCCGGAAAACAAATTATTCAAGCACACTACTTTTCTTACTGGTTGGTAACTATTGTGGACCTTCCTACTGAATTTTGTTTATAAAAAAAGTTTCCATCTGTAGTTTCAGATCTAGTGAAAAATCTCATCCAAAGTACAGAGTCACAAATGATGCGATTTCTTAAAAATCAAAACTGATCCCAAAAATTATGCAATATATTTCCGGCTCTTGCTGTTCAATACTAGGGTTTTAGCATGGAGTAAAAAAAAAAGTTATAAGATAAAGGATCTTCTACCTCCATGGTTTTAGTTACAACTTTTAGACGGGAAAGGCGGCAATTTTTGTTTCTTTTTATCTTTGTAAAGTTTGTTTCTGTTTCCCTACGTTCGTAGTCTAACCGACAAAGTAAGATAAAGATTACCACAAATATTTAGCGACATCGTGGCGTCAACTCACTCTTTTTTCTTAGGGTGGTGTGATAGCCTGGTCCCCCACTGTGCCTAGACAATAGTATTCCCTCATTTCGTATTCATAGGTCCCGTTGATTGAAAAATATGCAAATCAGCCTTTCCACGAGAACTTGGTAATCTACAAGCAGATGTTGGAAACGTCTGGCTCATATACGAACTTAAAAAAGAGAATTTTGGATAAATATATCGTCTTTTCCCTCTTGCATCTAGTTAAAGCGATTGTTTGTTTGTTTATTTGTCAACCGTGTGGTTTCAACAAGTTGCTGGCAACTGGAAAAAATACCCAAAATGCAACATTCACCACATGGAAACGCTGCGGCAAAACATCTAAGCGAAAGGGCAAAGATATCATCTCCAGCGCCCTTAATTCATCCCCAAAATAAAATATTTCAAAGCATAATTTTATTTAGTTTTATATTGATAAATTTAGCAATTTTTTTCGTCAAATATTGAGGAAAAAATTTAATATCTCTTCGTAATTTGAAACCAATTACGCTTTGCGTTCTCTTGCCGTCGTAATCCAAAATGGCTGACTTGGGGAATAGAGGTACGCAGTTCCTTTGTCTGTTTCGAGCATTTTTACCGGCATAATTCGTGCTTATAGACTCTAGAAACCCGCATATATACAGTGTGATATTGTGAAGATGAATATGTTATTTTTTTAGAGTGGTCCGTGGCTTGGAACGGTCTAAAATCGTACGATTAACTAGAGTGTATTGACTGAGCATTTATGTCCGCATCCGAAAAGGCCTAGCCTACTCGGTACAGCTGGATGTCATTTCAAGCATGGAAAATTTGATTGATTTTGGATTGGAATTTTAATGCGACACAGAACCGAGTCTTTGCCAGCTTTTGTTTCCTCAATTTCCACCGTGATGTGCGCTATTTGCGATGAGAATATGTCGCTTTCCTCCATAACCCAAGCTTGCAGACATTTTCATTCATTCATTCATAATCTTCTCTGTTTATGGATGATAACAATTACGTTCGTCTGCAAGCCATGAAAATTCTTCTTACAAAAATTATTCATGTTTAGAAATATCACATCAATACATCTTCACTAAAAGATGGGTACATGGATATATTCTATCATATTGCTGGAAAACATGGCTTACTTTGCCAAACCATCTGCCATTTGCTCCAGTCTAGAGTTACAATTCGTATTGTTTTCCTCTTTTGTTTTCCATTATGGAAATTTCATCTATTTTTCCTGCTCAACCCAGATGCAGAAAACTAATTCAGGAATGGCAGAACCATATCCGTTGTATAACTATAAGACTTGTTTCTTTTATAATGATTTCTTTTCTCCACAGCTATCCCAAATTGTGTAAAATTTACCGTAGAACCTAATAACCTGGAAGCCTCATCAAATATTCAGGGAATTTCATGCTTGATGAAAGTCATTCAGGCTTATCAGGCCTCTAATAGGCAAGAATAGTCCCAGCTCAATTTCTGAGCCAAACCATTCGTGATTCAGACATAGCATTATGAATCAATCCACCATGCTAAATGCTTCGGTAGATTGTTTCATAACCCCAAATTTTCATGCGAATATTGATGAAATCAAGACCTTCTGTGTGATTTATCCCAATTTCTCTAAACTTACAGACCAAGAAAAAACTATTCTTCTTTTAACCTCCCAAAACCCACAAATTTTGGAAAAGGTGGGACATTACGTCTTCCATGGTTTACAGAAGAGAAGTCAAACCCTTCAGACATAGTTTTAGACATATAGTTATAGTTCTAGACAGCTACCTTAATCATGTAGACTTTAGTTATTTTATACTCTGTTTCATTGTTCTTTTATGTTTTGTAATTTGCCTCCGGGCAAGAATTTGCAATAAACTTTTCATTATATGACAAAATGAAAAACCTTCTTGAGTTGAGGTTTGCACAGACCAGAGACATTTTTCTTTAATCTCAACAGTGCTAGATTATTGTTGGATTTACTTTTATCCAGCTCATTCCATGGTCCAATTAGTTAGACATTCATCATACAACACGGCAAATGTTCGCCCTCCGTCAAAATATAAAATCATTAAAAATTCAATTGAACATGATGCCAGGGTTCTAGCTAGTGCAAAGTAGCATAGGGGCCCCATACGCTATAATTTTGACCCCCTACGCTAAATTTCCCCCCTAACCTATAATTTTGACCCCCTACGCTAAATTTCCCCCCTATGCTAATTTTTAAGACAGCATAGGGGCATTGTGACTGTATTTCTTTGTTCAAGAATGCCAGATCAAATGTGAAAAATTACCAATCAAGGATACATTGTACATTACCTTAGAAATAACATTTTTTTCCCTTTGGGTATCCCTCAAATGGCCCATTTTTTAGCATCATGCAGTAGTTTTGTTTGAAATTGCAAAGAAGATTTTTTATGCCGGTACAACCATTTCCCTACTGCGGCCTAAACCTGCTAACCAAATTTTTACTGATTTGGAATGTGGTAGCCCAAAGGCCACAGTAGTGTGCTAAAGGTTACACACTAGCCGACTTTGCTGTTTGATTGTTGCAGTTACAGTATTAATTTCCTATGAAATGTGTTTCAGAAGTCAAGAACTGATCCAGCATACTAGTACTAGTAGTAGTACGCAGTACACAGCACTGTGTTTTATGTGAATGTAAAATATTGACCATACTTAGATGCATGATAATCGCAAAGAGGCCAGAGCACCCCAAGTTAAAACATAACTCGAGTAGGCTTTGATGGATTGTCTTGATACATGTTTTTGGTAGGTGGGTAGGTCTTGATAAGACCTTGAAATGATTAGATTAGGGCCCCCTGGCGGCTTGTTATGGTACTGCAGCAGAACAGTTTTGATATCTCATGATCTAGACATGCTAAGGTCATGAAATTGGGATGGTAGGTAGCTCTTGTGTATGGCAAGAAGTCCCACGAATTTGAGCCTCCTAGCTGCTTGCTCCGGAATTGCAGGGGCATTTGTTGAGCAATGTTTAATTTTGTTTTAACCACAGGTGCATGTTTCCGACACTGAGTCTGAACCTCTCTGGCTTACAACCCGAGCGGAAGTACTACGTCCTGGTAAAGATGATCCTGACTGACGACTCGCTCTACGCCTACCGTAACAACCAGTGGGTCGTGGTGGGGCGCGATGCCAAGCCCAGCGTAGCGGACAGCGTGTACGTCCACCCCAAGTGTCCGGAGTACGGCGCCAAACTCATGGAGCGCCCGCTGGCCTTTCCCGCGCTCAAGCTCAGCAGCAGGGTGCATGATGGGAAAAACATGGTAGGTAGCAAACCTCTAAACCCAGGGCTTCTTTACTGTAGATTTTGAAATGAAATGTTTATTTTCAAATGTATCTGTTTTCATTGCAATTTATATTTTAGCTTTACCGAATGGTACTGGTAATATACTGTAAAAACCTTCCACAAGTTCTAGGTCCGAATTCTAGGTCAAAACAAGGTGAAATAGTGAACAACAGAACAGCATTTTTATGATTTTTTTGTCTTTTTATGCAAATAATTCCAATGGACATGATACACTTAGGTTTCTTTACCAGCATTTTGCCTAGACATTCTTTCAGTATCACAAAATTACATTACAACCCATGTGCTTCATAACAGAAGCTGGTGTGTTACACCAAGGGGTGGTTATACTGGCTATACAGATACAGAAGCTGGTGTGTTACACCAAGGGGTGGTTATACTGGCTATACAGATACAGAAGCTGGTGTGTTACACCAAGGGGTGGTTATACTGGCTATACAGATACAGAAGCTGGTGTGTTACACCAAGGGGTGGATATACCGGCTATACAGATACAGAAGCTGGTGTGTTACACCAAGGGGCAGTTATACTGGCTATACAGATACAGGTACAGAAAAGCACACACAACAAGCCTTCTTGGTGAAGGTAATAGGTCTAAGCACTTAAATTGACAAATTCAAGGGCACTTTAACTCTGCCAGTTTCAGTTCATTTTATAAAGGTCGGAGTATGTCGTGCTCAATTCTAATTCTGCAATGACAATAATGGCAATAATAGTGTAGTATTGCTAGTAAAGTAGTTTGTCCTTGAATTACTTTCCAAGGGCTTGTCCTTGAGCACACATGTTTATCATGTTTATTTATTCATGAGTTGGAGCCCGAGTGTTATGAATATTTGTCAACAAAGTACCATTGTCCACACTTCAATGGTCTTTTTGTCCTCTGTGTTTTTATTTCACGGATAGACTCTGAATTTGAATATTCATGTGGTCTTACATTGATCAGTATAGCCAGATGTTTTGTATTCCACACACAATACAAGTATATGATAACAGGGCTCAAAATACTGGGTGCATGTGCACCCAAAATTGGAGCTGTGCACTCAATTATTTTCTGTGGGTGCACCGGTGCACCCAAATATTTTGGTAGATATGTTTGTACATATTAAATGTATAATAGTATACAGGATATTCCTGGCATCTAAGTGTCAGAAAAATAATAAAATCTTTGTTGTACTACTTGTGTAAGAATTTGAAGTTAGCTCCTATTTCAGATTCAAGCTTGGAAGAGAAGTATGATATCGATTGGTAAATAGGTTTTGTTTCATATGGTAAACCCAAAAACTTTTTTTATGCACCCAATTTTTTAGGTTGGGTGCACCAGTGTACCTATTCTCAAAAATGTATTTCGAGCCCTGTATAATCTCCAAGCAGATGTAAGAATCTGGATAAGTTTTGGCAATTTATATCAGTTGTTTGCAACATTTACATGACATTTGATTGTATAGTAGTAGTGCATATTTTCAAAACACCAACAAAATAGTTGCAACTGATTATTAATTTCTTTGAGGATTGTACACAATACACAAAGTCTATCTAATGCATTTCTACTTATTTATGTACATTTTATAACAGGTTTTTGTTTAACATTTCTAACTTTTCTGTATCTGTATCTGTATAGCCGGTATAACCGCCTTTCGGCGTAACACACCAGCTTCGCAGGCACGCGGCGCGGCGGCAGCTGGCTATATTACACCGATCGACTTGTTACACCTAACCCTTGAACTTCTAGCTCTAGACATTGTTTAAAGCTATCTATTGACAGTGCCCCTACTGTACTTGGTGACATTGAGTTCCACTCTGCGATAGTTCTAGGAAAGAATGAATTCTTGAACACCTCAATCCTTGGTTGATAACTCTGGTACTTGAATGCGTGGCTATTTCTTGTTCTCTTCTGGGCTGGTATTAGGTACTTAGTAGTTGGGACATCCACCAGTTTATTAGTCATTTTGTACATCATGCATAGTCTAGACATCTTTCTTCTATCTTCAAGTGAGGTCCACTGTAGGTTTCTTTTCATTTCCGTGACACTAGCACCTCTTACATAGTTGTTCATACAGAATCTTGCAGCTTGATTCTGTACCCTTTCCAATTTGTCTTTGTCTTTCTTTGTATATGGATCCCATACTGTCGCAGCGTATTCTAGGTTCGGTCTTACAAGTGACGTGTATGCAAGTGATTTTACTCTCGTTGGACATGCCCACAGATTACGTTTAATCACTCCCAATGTCTGTTTCGCCTTAGTTGTGATATTATTAACATGTGCACCCCACTTCAGTCCGCTTGTCAGCGTGACGCCCAGATACGGATGGATTTTTGTGGTTGCTAGAGCCTGACCACAAAACTGGTAGCTAGTTGCATGTGGTGTTCGTTTGTTTGTTATGTGCATAATGTAGCATTTTTCGGGATTAAACTGCATGAGCCATTTGCTTTGCCATTCTTCCAGGGTGTTCAGGTCTTTTTGGAGAAGTTGTGAGTCGGTCTGTGTGTTATAGACAACTTTTAAGTGCACCCAAAGGAACTGTAAGCGAAGTCAGTTTTCTGGTTACTTTTTCAACCGTAGAACATTGAATCAACTATATTCCATAGAATACCAATATCTTTGAGGCAAAAGAAAGGTTGCTTGTAATCTGTTACTTGTTTTGTATCATAGGCTGATTCTTGCTATTTATTCGTGGTACCAAAAATTATAGTTCCGCCTTGTCTCTGGGCTACTTCAAACACTTAGAGTATGGCATAATAATAAAATTGTGCTAAGGAATGTAAATATAATCAGACAGCTTTCCTCGTCCAGAATATTTTTTTTGCTTTGCTGCTTTGAAATTGCAAAAAAAATTGTGATAGTTTTGAAAATGCTGAGAGCAGACAGTGATGTTCTAAAAACAGAGAAGTGCTGTGGTAGTGTCGGGTATCCACCCAGACAGCTGGGGAGTAATAAGTGCATCGATTGCTTTTAAAACCCAACAATTGACAGAATCGCCTACTGTGGGGGTCATGTGGTGGCAATGGGCCAAATGTTAGCGGCTTCTCATGTAGTATACTGTAGATCTCTTAACATTTGCAGCATGTTTTTATTTTTACATTATTGTGGTGACCTCTTAACTGCAAATTAATGTAGCCACAAATATATATTTACAATGCATTACTGTATTATAGATTTATTTTAGATTGAAATGCTGCAAAGAAATTTTTTTTTTCTAGTTCCCTGGAAAATAGATGTTTTTACAGTAGCAGGCACAGTGAATCATACAGCTGCTATTGTCCATACTGAGTCACATGGGAGAGAAGGGGTTATTTTGTCAATCAATAGTGTTTTAGGGCTGTGTACTGAAACAATGGTTCAGGTCCAGGTACATATAGGCTACATCAATGGGATATATTGATTCTCAGCCTCTCAAAATGTTAAAGTTGGAAATGATTTAAACCAATAATTTTTCATTTTTCACCATTTTATCTTAAAAACTTGTATTCTATAATGTTTATTTTATAGATTTCTTTTTTTTTTTTACTGCTGGGTACTAAGGTACTGTTTTGCATGAGCTGTAGGTTTGTGTGGCTGTTTGTCCAATCAGAAAAGGTTGATAGCACATGGGTCGGGAAAGATTGACAGGCACAGTGACAGACTAAAAGGTATGACACAGGAAGTAGGGTGACCTTGAAGGTCACTGATACTAGGTATGACCCCCAGTACTTACCAGAAGTCTTCTAGGATTTTATGTTTTATCTTGGTTCATGTACACAAATGTCTTCAGTATTTAATGGCCCAGGCTTTTTAGCTAGGGGTTGTCCAGGGTGTCTTTTGGACGCCCTGTACTGAAAATAATAAGAAAATTGTACGTCCTTCTTTTTTGCTAGGACACTAAGTAATAAAGATTTTTTCCACTCTAAACCCCCCCCCCCCATGCACATATGCCTCCCTTCAGCCTTACTATAAATACAAAAATGATTTACTGAATGTTTACTGAAGAAAAAAAACTTCAACTTCAAAATGCAGAGAGCAAGTGTTTGAGAGCATTATGCAGGGCTCTAGCTAGCGCGAAGTAGCATAGGGGCCCCCTACGCTATAATTTTCACCCCCTACGCTAAATTTTCAATACAGCACAGGGGCATTGTGACTGTATTTCTGTGTTCAAGAATGCCAGATCAAATGGGAAAAATTACCAATCAAGGGTACTTTGTACATACCTTAGAAATAACATTTTTTTCCCTTTGGACACCCTGCATCTTCGCTGCGCATAGCATAAAAAAATGGACACCCAACCAAAAAATCCTAGCTAAAAAACTGTTTCATGCTTCAAATTGATGGTGCAATGTACATGTATTTGATCTATGGTTTCAATAGCCTGAAATGTCCCTGTTGTGTTGTAGGTCCAGCTGAGGTCTATGCACAAGTACCAGCCTGTAGTACAGGTAGTGGAGGCAGAGAACATGTCAGACCTGGCCGTGGCACCCTCCTGGCAGTTCTCCTTCCCAGTCACCGAGTTCATGGCTGTCTCTTCATACTACAGCGACAAGGTCAGTTCTACGAGATACTGAAATTCACTAATATCTTCACAGCAGCACTGTTTTTATGAAAATGGACATGCTTATGGAACTTCACCGTGGTGGCAAGTGCAGGGAGTTTGCAAAAGACATGTTTAAGCTCTATTATTTACTACAGAATTACTACAACATTCATCACTGGGAAAACCTGTGAAATCTTGCCTCCCTGAAAAAGAAAATAAATTTACTGTTGTGTACTAGCAGAATTTGTATGTTGAATTACTCTATTGCCACACTGAAGTTAGGTGTAGACATCAGAAATATCAGTGTTCTCACCAGTTCTTTTGAGCATAGGGGCCCACTATGCTGTGATTTGGACCCCCTATGCTGTGATCTGGACCACTATGTTGTCTTATAATTAATAGGGGTCTTTTTCGGTTAGAACCTTCATAAATCTTGCAAAAAAAATGAAAATATGACTTTAGAATTAAGCTATATATAGCAAAGGGAAAACCTTCACTTCACAAAATTTGTCCCTCAATAAGCAAGAAATAGTGTCTCAGGGGGTTATGAGTTTCAAATTTTTTGACTCAATGTGCAACTTAGCGAAAGTTTCCCTTCTGTACCTGACCCCTATGCTATGAAAAAATCCTGGTGAGAACCCTGAATATCCGGTACAGCTCCAATTTTACTTGCCCTAACCTGCATATGCAGATGGTATTTTTAGCACTACTTATCATCATAACATAAGTGGGGATGGTACTTAGCCCTATCTTTTTTTGTGGCTACAGATCAGAAAGCTGAAGGTGGACAACAACAAGTTTGCCAAGAACCTACGGAACTTGGAGTCTGTGGATCGCAGAGAGAGGAGGTTGGTATTCTTTTTCTTTTCATGGCAAAACATTGAAGAAGAAACTTTTTTGTTGATGAGCAACATTTCCAAAGCTACACACATTGTATTGACTTGTTAGTCAGATTGCTGTGTTAGTCAAGTTGTTGTTTTTGTATAGTTAAACATCTGTAGCTGAGGTTATCTGAGTTCATTTGTACAGGAAGACTGTGAGTTAGGCAAACTTTCTACTAGCCACCTTGCATCGGCTCCCTCTAGTGACAGTGCTATGAACTGCCACAATGCCTAACTTACATGTTATGCATGGAGAACACACAGGGTGCAATGAATAAAGGATACCATCCTGAATATTCGACCAAACAAAAAAGAATACATGAGTAAAATAAAAAATTAAGTGTCCATGCTCAAACAGTTCCTGTTAGGTTTAGCTAGTTTTATTTCTGAAATATAATGTTTTTGCGTTGACCATAGTAGATGCATCCTGTGACAACTAAAATCTCTTAGCAATGCCTCCTAAATGACGTTATTGCATATGAACAATGCATATAAAGCTGCATCTAACCGATTGGTGTATAATTAGTAAATACAGTTCTTATAACAGCCTAAAAGACTTAGGGATCCTTAGGGCCCAAAGACATTAGTCACTTTAGTTCTTTCCAAGACATGTATCTAAGTTCCATTGATATATGGCTTGCATTTGAGAGCCTAACACGGTTTATATTGTTTAGTAATGGGCTAAAAGTGTACAATTAACAACCCAACGTGTAAACAATCCCCCAGTCAGCTAGACCTGCATTTCTTCACCAAGAAGGCCGGTGGTCTGCTAATTAAGAAATGACCTCAGCTCTGTTTAAAAAGTAGTAGTCTTACATTAGGACATTATGTGAAGAAAAGTGGTATCCAGGTATGTAGGGCAGGGAAAATACGACGGTTTTTCTCTTGTAGTTTCCGACAACTCGCCGCGAGCGGTTTTCGGGAAAGGTTAGTTGGTCCATTCAGCGTACTACCGGTAACGCCAAAGGGGGGGTAATCAAAGTATTGGCAGAACCCCTAAATCACTGCACCACCCTTTTATATCGACGTAATGGCTTCACAAGCCGCGCTACGCAAGCCATCTTCCTCAAGATTGATCGCCAAGTTTATGATAGCAGGGTACACGAATAAATTGAAATTAAGGTGTCAAGACGTCCGTTCCTTTACGGCATTTGGCGTAAATCTTGTCGGGGACGTCCACGGTGGATTAGACTGAGTGGAGCTCTAGAGAGTTAATGGTCTTCCAGAGAACTAACAGGCACTGGGAAGACCTACCTATTAACCAGGATGTGGTTATAGCTATGCCTAGCCACCCTGTAGTGTGCCGACCACCCATGGTGGAACGCCAGCTTTAAAACATCTTCTCGTACGAAAACTCGCAGCACTTTCATCAGTTTCTGACAGAAAAGGGCACGTTTTAATCTAGAAATTCGCTAATCCGTTTTCGTGTGGACGTGTTATAAGTGATTTTCTTATCTATGTGTGTAGCAACAACAGTGAGATTTAAGAAGAACCTGGCAAGTTTTCTTGTGAAAAGGCTAATTACAAATCACACCATTTCCTGATATCTTTTCACTTATCCTGGAGGGTGGTAACAGAAGATGCGCACTTGCATTCTCTTGCATAGTTAAAGAATAACAGGTGACTGTACATAATGTGTTAGGATGGACTTTTTCAAGAATATTACCATTTTGATCCTGGTCTGACAAATCTTTAAAATAGCTCACAGTTACCGAGACAACTTGAATGTATCATTTGCTGATTGGTTTTCTAATGACATTAAAATTCATTAGTAGGAAAATAGATTCATAAGCATCTGGCATGGATGAGAATGGAGCTTATTTTTCCTCTCTGTCGTCATGCCGACCAAACCTGCTGATCAAGCCTGGGTCCTAATGAGACTCTTCCGAGCCATAAACCAATTAGCCAGACACAGTAATTGAGTTAATAACTACCCTGCCCTGACACCAATAAATTTGGGGGGGGTTCTGGAGCCAAGAGTGACGCTAGCGGCATATGGAATACAAAAAAAAGTCTGCTCAGTTTGTCCACTGTTACTGCTGTTTTTGTTTGCTCGTGCTAAATGATTGTCATGTTTTATATTGATAGTTTGTGATATTATTTGGTTGGGTTGTTTGAAGGTGTTTATTCCGAGTGTTTGGCTTTAATTCCCGTCCTTTTGTGTGTTTTTATGAGTAGCCAGGGGCAGGTGCCGGCCGTCCCGCGGATGGTGCGACCACCGGCACAGAAGTCCCCCCCTCCCGTCACCTGCGTGCTGCCCCAAACCACCTGTGGAAACGGCGTACAAACAGCTTCTCCCGCCGCCGACACCCACGTCTCCCCCAAGCAGGGTACGTAAATTACGCCCGGGTAATTCGTCCGCCCGTCCGGCGCAATTAACACCCGCGGGAGCCACCCCGGGTGATATACGACCTGCCATCGACGGGCCGCGGCGCATAATTCCTGCCTGAGCCGTCCACGCCAATTGTATATCATTAGGACAGACAGGGGTGTCTCTGTCGCACCACGGAAGCACCGCTCTCGTTAATTACGGGTTTAGCATGTAGGCCAAGCTACCTGTCTGGTAACGTTATGTTCTAATGGACACGTTATGTGGAAAACAAGAAACGAAGGGCGAAAAAAGTTGTAGGGTCACTGTTAAGATTTTCAACCCAAAACTCCAATGTACTAAGTACTACCTGTGCTTTTAGTGTTGATCGACATTCAGTTAAAAGCTTAGATTTAACATAGAAGGAATAGGGACTTGATTGACTACTTGTCCTTCTGTCAAGTCAAGAATTTACTCCCTATGGCTAAAAAAAGGCACAATTGATTCTTTCTAATCCACTGAAAAATAGGTTAAAAACTGTTTTCACAATTTATCGTCCAGAACAAAAGAAATGTGCGGCACTCAAGGCGAGATTTACGACCTTCTGTCCGCCAACCTAACAGCTTAAGTGTCGGAAACATAACGTCTCAGACCTCACTTGACTTTTTTGGCAGCTAACCTATGAACGAAAAAAGATCTCAGCCCAAGATAGCGCACTCGTTGTAACCTATATGACAAAATCGTGACATAAAGAAACCATCACTGTCACATAACCTCTTTGGACAATCAGTGCATCAATCTTAAGAAGTGCTGTTAAAGTGTCTTTGAAGTGATCATCATAAGTCTCTGTTGCCATCTTAGGACATTTCCATAGCACCGGATGGCTTAAGGCTGTTCTGAGAAAGAAAAATACTCGAAAGCAAACGTTATATCTATCTGGTGTGTTTCCCAACAGTTGAAGGCTAAAAATAAAGGCAATAGCTTTCCACCTGCTAACTCATACACCATTTAGTGACAAAGTAGCAAATTAGCAAGGCAACTGATAACTGTTTATGGATACAAACTCATCTTTCTTAGCTTCTCTGTGAGAAAAAATGTTTCTGTGTTATTTTGATTCCTTTTGAGAGTACCAAAACAACATGTGGGCATTCTTTCAGGAATTGATAGACTTTCTAAATTAGATGAATGAAAACTACAAATGTCAGGAAAAAGGAAGTGTTCATTTGAGTTGTTGAGAAAAGAGAAAGAAACCAGACCAGACAGTATCTGTCAAGACTTTGGATCTGTGCAATATTTCACCCCCACTGACCTGTATCTGTCAATACTAACAACTATGGTGCCGGTATCTAGCAGGCTATAATACTGTAATACCTGGTCCTGTACACCTTTCCCAGTTAGATCAGACAGCGATAAGGGAGTGTGTGTTATCAGTGTGTTGTCACTGGAGGTGTGTAGGTGCTTCAGAGATAACATTGTTGAGTAAGTTGGTTTAAACACCCGGCGGGGTGGTTTTGCCTTGAACCGGTTTTCTAGCCACTAGTATGCTAGATCGAAACGGCTGGAACAGTTTTCTTTTAGGGCTCGGTCGACCTTCGTCAGATGACAATACACCACAGAAAATGAAGGAAATTTTTAGGGCCATTTATCCATCTTGCTACAAGATTTGTTGTAAATTTTGTCCATGGTTGGTTCTGTCGTAGCTTTAAGACGTCATTTTATTTTACAAAGAATGTGACCAGTTACAAAGAATGTGACCAGTTCTTAACTATGACATACCCTAATATGTACATATGGTTGGGACTTTATACTGTGTGTATACAGCAGACACCAATTACTTCCATCGCTGCTATTGGCATGATCCTGGTGTTTGTTTTGAATTCTAAAAACCCAAATCGTATCCAATTTACTCCAATATACCAGTTAATTGAATAGCGCATTCGTATAAACTTTTATGGCATGACATTAACCTGTATTTTATATGTACTCGAGTTCAAGAATCTGTGGAACTAAACTTGATTTGTTCCCTCCCCCTCCAGGTGTTGTACCGCTCCAGCCCGGCGTGCCCTCCGCTGACCAGCTCTCCGCGTATGCCGCCAAGGTGGCCCAGGAGCCTCCGCTCTCCGTCAAAATCTTCAACAGCTTCTCCGTGCCTCACCGCCGCCTGCATCACCGCAACAAGTCGCACTACGCCGTCTATAAACATCAGGTCGCCTTCGCTCCAAACCCCGAGGGTCTCCTGGCCATCAGTAAACACACCACCCCTTCAGGAGTCCACAACGATGTTTTCCCGTCGTCTTCGGCCAGTAGCGCGAGCTCAACCAGCTCGCAGAGGAACTTTTCACTGCCAGGAAGTATCTATTCCACTGCTGCTACGAGAGGCGTCGAACAAGGACCGAAACGCACTCAGGACTCGGTACTGCTGCCCAGCACCCTGGTGCTGCCGGCGTGTAGCGTAGGAAGCGACGCCGTCAGGTTCGAACCGTTCAGCGTTCCCAGCTGCATGTTGGAGTCGGGGCTGACAAACGTCAACACAACTGCTGCTAGTACTGTTAGAGTTAGCCCGGAGATGTTCACTGCCACTAGTAGTGCTGCTGCGTCCACAAGACCCAGTGTGAACGTCAACCCGCTGGTGATGAGGAGCAAGAGCCAGGTCCGCGAGCACCCGTACACCAGGGTGGCGTCTCGGAGCAGCGCGTCCGTCCAACCGCCCGTCGCACACATCGCCCATCAACTCAACATTCCCAGCAACATCCCCGGCCAGCCTTGTCTGAGCGGACTCACTGCAAACCCCGCCGGTAGACGACAAACATCGACCACCGCCGCGGCGACCCACTCCGGCCCATTCCACCAACCGGAGGCAAGAATGAGCCACCTGTCGTCAGACCTGCTCGTTAACGTGAACCTGCAGTCCCTTGGTCAGCTGGTCAGCCGCGTCCAGCCCAGATGTATCCAGCAGGAGATGTTAGGCGAGCTCTACAACCCGGCCGAGGTGGAGAAACTACGGGCGTCCACAACTATGCAGGCTCCGATGGCGTGCTCCACCGCCAGCCTCCACCCACAGCAGATCTCCGACATCCCCCTTACACAGTCTCTGCAGCCCACGGCGCTGGCCTACATGAGACATTTCCAGGGAGTGTCCGCTGCCTTCACTCCCACCAGTAACGACGCCATCATCAACCCTGTGGCCGTCCGCACCAAGGCCCAGCTCAAGGCTTACCCTACGCACATGGGATACTTCCCTCTACCCTCGGGAATCGTCTTATAAGAAACTTCAGCCTGTTGCATGTCTTTAAGAAACTCGCTTCTCCCCTCAAGGACAGAAAAGGTGTAATTTCATTGAGTTCAGGCCTTACCGAAACTCACAACATTGGATAGTTTTTACGAAAAGCCATACTCTACTGAAAAGTAGTACCTACTAAACAACAATCCTGTAGTGCTTAAAGTATCAAACACGTGTTCAGTAGAACAATGAGAACTCTCCCATATTAGTAGTCTTAGTACTTCTCATTATGAAACCAGCCTGTATATACTAACATCTAAAAGGAACTGAATATGGTGCTACCTCACTGGACACCTCAAGAAAGGTGACAGGAGTTCTCTCGTCAACTCAGGGTAAATTAAAACGAAAAAGAGATTCTATACAAATATTATATGAAGACTGTCCAGTAACTGCAATGTAAGGCCTACAAGTGTACCTGGATAGAAAAGTTGCTTGAAGAAACAAAAGTCAAGTTGCAATGTATCAGGGCTGCTAATTTGTTGTCATTTTTTAAGATTATTGTAAGACCATTGCAGTATTATAAGCAGCAGCGTACCTAGAAGATTCGACAACTTGAAAAGAAGTTGTTTTTCGATTTGATGTACAAATTCGTTCATTATTAGATGTTCTGTTTTTTTTAATAAGTTCAATGTTGAGTAGAGTAGATTTGACAAAACTACTTTTATGTAGTAGGAAAATTAGATGTTTTTTGTTGTTTTGTTCTGTTGTATTTGTTGTTAATTTTGATGTTCTATGTGTAAGAAGTTGTTATGTTTAGTAAGGAATGTGCCAAATGAAGATATGCACGTGGAGACTCATGACTTCCCCAGTAAGCCATACCTTAAGTAGACTGACGCTTGAAATAAAGTGTTTCAACACAGGTCAACTTTCTCGTGTTATTTGAATGAGTGAGTGAGTGAATGAATGAATGAATGAATGAATGAATGAATGAATGAAGACCTTTATTGTGCATTTTGCCACGCTGGGCTACAGTAAGTACAGGTCACAACAAAACATGATGAACAGATACAGTTAGCAGAAACAAAGTAAAACTATCATTAGATAAAGTCACCTTTTTCATGACTTTTTTACAAGTAGAATATGGTTGGAATAAACTGATAAAACCCTGAGTCAGTTAATTAGTCCTTCCCGCACCGTGTGGTGCATAGGGCGGCGCCCATCTCCGGTTCGGTAGCCCTTGAGCCACACAGTTGTGCAATCCCTACAGCAGGGGGCTAGCCCACTGGTAGTGTTGTGTGTGTTTAGCTCCCATTCACCTTCCCAAATGCTGAGTTGTAAGCAGAGAAAGCAGTCTTCGGCCGGGGATCGAACTCACGACCTACCTAATGCAATGCGAGCACTCTATACAATGTATGCACACTCAGATGCCCAAGTGTTAACTAGAAGACATTTTAGAGGAACACTTTCTTATCAATGTAGTAGTCTAAGCGTGTCTGGTGCAGTTATGACAGGTTGGAAAGATGTTTATTATATATAATTGACAAATGAGACTAAACTTCATCCTTACATCTGCCTTGAGATTGTTCGCCCCAGTGAAATACGAACTAGTAACTACCCATCACCCTTAGCTTATAGTTGAAGGGATGGCTTGTTGGTGAAAACATGCAATCTATTAATCGATGATTTTAAAAGCAATTTCCTCTGTTTCTTGTGAGGTCCAGAATACCGGCCAAAACGTAAATTCCCTTTCTTACACTAGCCTCCTTCGCAGACTTCTGAGGGGGCGACGTTAATTTTTTTTTTTCGGGGAGCGACGGGAGTTTTGCCGCCGAGGGACTTTGCCGGGAAGAGACTGTTTCGCGGCGGCATAACTCGTGTCGCTCTCCGAAAAAAAAAATTAAAGATGACCCCTCAGAAGTCTGCAAAGGAGGCTAGTCTTTACACTCCACACGTAGCCTTTGAACTGCAGGTCGGGAAATCCACTCTAACATCTGCTTGGAGAATCAGGATTACGACAGCGAAATGGCGAACTTCTTGAAACATTTGTGAATGTGTCGTAGTCTTGTGTGTCTTTCTGACATATGTCAAGTCAAGTCTACAATGCATGGCAAACTCTTCAGTACTACATATCTGACCAACATCTACTCTTACGTCTACAGTAATACCTACAAGTTCTATGTATCGAAAATAATATTGTGCTTTTTCAAAAAGGTAATATAGTACATGTATATATATGGAACATGGCTTACATGATAATGTACATGTCTTGAGTTCTATATGACTGTGTAAGCTGTACATCAGTTGGTTGAGTCCCACATAATATGATTCCTTTTAACAAAGCGTTGGATATATACTGGCCTATGTACAGGGAAGTTTCGTCTGAACATGACATGAGTAGAGTAAAAAATCTACTACTGATCTGAGATTGTTTTAGGTAATGTTATATGTGCCTTGTTGGTGATCGCGTTCATAAGTGTTTCTCTTTCTTCGGACAACAAAAATAGAATGTGACTTGGCATGTATCAAGTTGAACATCGTATAAAAGAATGATATGGTATATAAAGTTACTTCTCTGTGTGGTTAAGTCAATTTGAAGACCCCCAGCGAAGTAGGCGTTGGCTCCCCCAGCGACGCATAGCAACCACCTTTGACCCCTAGTTTTCCAGATTTTCCCCATTGTTCGCTAATTGCCCCCTCCCCACCTAGTGTGAAAACTTCCCTAGAGGGGTGCCGCTGGCCCAGGTGAGATGTTACCTGGCACCCTGCAGGCGTGTGAAGGGCTGTATAACAGTACTGTCTGGGAAGGGAAGCAGGATGTGTATTGGATGTGATGTAACAGTGTTCCAGGCGTCAGAAAATAGTTTGAATGGCTGTCTGAATTTTTTGCTTGTATAGCTACATATAGTTAGTTGTATCAAGGACATTATACACAGATGTGTATAATGTCCTTGGTTGTATACAGCTTAGCTCAATGTATCGCCCCCAAAGTTCAGTTCCCGCCAATAGTACACCGACTATGGTACACTGGGATTTTGACTTAGTGTGACATTGACTTATATATAAATACCCTTACCATCATCACACCGACTGCATGCATGTACTTATGCCCTTCTGTTACAGTACTCATGTTTGTTCTTATCAAAGCTCCACTACTATTATATAGTACTAAGTCTGGCCCAAAGGATTGCTTCTTCTAATTGAACTCTTTAAGAAGTAAACTTCTCTTGTAAACCCAGTTTCGTATAAAGGTAATCATGCTGCTAACTAGCTGTCACTTGCAAAATGGGAAATTTAACATTTTTTTTAAAATTTAAATAACTAAATTTAAAAAAAAAAAGAAAGGTTTCTGTGCCACTTTTTCATTTGGTGATTTGGCCTTCCTTGTACTGAGGACATTATACTAGTACTTGGTGTACAGTCTTTACTGAATCCAAGGAAATGCCTGAAATAATTTACATGTACCATTAATTTCCACAAAATAAAGACTGAATTTCCCATTTTTCAAGTGACTGGCATATGTGATTACTTTGTTTACATTGTTTTGTAAGAGTTATATTATATCCATGCTCAGAACACTAAGGACTGAAAAATCAATACTATAGTTCACATGATTTAACATTTTTCTTGTGTCTTGATCAAACAATTCCTCCAAATTGCTTTATGTGCATGAAACAATCATATAAATGTCTGCCAAATCAAGGAGGTTCTAGGGGTTCTAACTACATGACCAAATTTATCTCATTTTGCTTGGATAAACCAAGAAGCTTCAATTTCAAACTGAAGCTCCTTTGATAAATAGTCTTAGTCTAACTTTTCTGGAAATTTCTGTATTGTGTACATGTATGTGTGCTGTGCTTGTTAATTGTCTCTTCAGATACTCCAGTGCTAAAAAGTGTCTATTGTACTTGTTTATCAACCCAAGCCAAACTGTCTGGCATGGCAGGTAAAGGTGTGAAGCAGCCGTGAATTTGCCTATTGTTTTCCTCAGGTATTCTGGTACCCTGCTGTCAGGGTCTGAGTCAACAAACTAATTGGCCATATTGTCCCCTTATCCAAACAAAGAGATCATATGTCATCCTTGGAGTGACCAAAAAGTTGCAATTTTGTCATATTTTTTTCTTCTCAAAGGCGGAAACATATGCAATGTTATTGTTTCACGCAAAAGACATGTCTGAAAAGTAGACAAGTTGAATTTTAATGTTCAAGTGGTCCCAGGGTTGTGCACATTTCCAGTACATTGTATGGGATCTATGAATATTTCAATTATGCCATTTTTGGTAATATTTTGAGCATATTAAAGAATATCTCTGCTATAATGATATTGGTAGATGTGGGACCACTTGAATATTATAGAGTGATCATTGCAGAATACATACATACCAAATTTGTGTCAAATACATGATTTTAGGGCTTCCGCCGGGAGCATAAAAGTGATAAAATTTAGCTCTGATTATCATATTCATATCTTTATATCAGTATGCTTTAATTGGAGTCTATATACTTAGAAAGTATCTTATGGATCCTATGCTTCATGTCTTGTTGTAAGTTCTGGAAGAAAATATCTCAGTGACAATATATTGAACATCAAAGTTGGGGGACCAGTTAATTAGCTAGAAAGGCTAAAAAGTGACTTAACTACACAGAGTTCCTTTAAATGGAACTGCATATTAACACATTTCTCTGGTATGTGTCAATTACTACTATTTCCTCAATCAAACCAACAAGGTTAAACCTCTTATACGGAACGAAAATATACGCGGACTTATAGTGCAAAGTTAACTTTTATTTTACATTCAAGTACCAACAAGACTTTCAAAGTCAAAAACATGTACATAAAAGACCCAAAGAAACGCGTAAAGTATAGTTCGTAGACGAGCATGTCCACTTCAAGCTGACCATTAGGGTCTGTGCTATCGCTTGCATCCCGCATGTCGCTCGCTATTACCATTTCTAGTGAACACGAGGTGTGAAAAAGTACTTGAAAGGCTCCCATTAGTCGCACCCTGGCTTTGACTTTCAGCACAAACGTGCGCGCCAGCTCTAATGCACTCCGTCCCCCAATCTTCTTGTTTCTTCATATTTCTTCCCGGATTTGATCTTAGTCATCGCGAGGTGCGAACCCGGGTGTCAACTCACATCAATAAATTCTCACGTGTCCGGCGCCTGAGATGGACATCAAACAGAGGAAACCCTTATTTTCTACCTTAAGAGACGTCAGTGGGACCACTAGGGACTTGTAGAACCCAAGCCGACATATTTCATATGGGCCACTTTAAGTGCAGGCGTAAGACCCCTGGATAAGTCTGGGGATAAGCTACATGGCGGCTGGTAATCCTAAGGTCTAATTTGTCACTGGTGCATTTCTCTTTCGGAATGAAGAGTCGGCTAATTTCTAAGAAAGTGTGGTGTGTTTTTTCCTACTTCCATGTACGGAAGTATTGGGTGGTTGAGCTGTGCGTTTTGTATCATTTTGTCCAGGCAGATTAGGTTGAAAGCACGTGGGTGGAGGAAGATTGGCTGGCAGAATAACAGGAGGTCAGAAGTCCAGGAATTAGACGGGAGCAACAGGTACTAGAGTTCCCCGATCTCATACCTTCGCCAAATGATGTTAATCTTTATGACTGACAAATTATAGATTAGATTATTCCCCCCTGATTTAAGAAATAGGAACCTAATTTTCATGAATTATATCATTTTATCATAATCTCAACCAAAAGACAGTCTTATATTAACAAACAATGCATTCTAGCATTTCCTAATAAATTATGCAAATGAGGGCCTGATATGAATAAATTATGTTTAATGATGTTCACCTCAACTAAACTTTCAAATACCACAAGTATGAAATTCCAGGCAGTTATCAGTGCATGATTATAAAATTTTCTCATTAATTATGCAAATTAAGTCATTATTAACATAATCAAT